ATATATATATATATATATATAAATAATTTTAGAATAAACTAAAATTATATCTACTTTAATGATAATGTGGTAATTTTTAATAGTGGGACCCACAAACGCACCAACTCCGCCACACCCCCCTGGGTCAAACTCACTTCTCTCCTCATCTCACCAATCTCTCTCTCTCTTTCTGAGTCCCACACAAACGCACACACACACACACACAAATGTATAGAGATAACAATGGCATATTTCTTTGGTGTTTTAAGATCCTTTCATTCTTCTGATCAATAAAGTGTTCACTTGAAATCTGCCAAAATCAGTTTTGATACACAAAATAAATACAAACACTATCAACATCAAAACCAATTACTCATAGTACCAATATGCATAAACATTTTCACCCAAATTCACATCATTTTCCATCTCTTCTACTGCTAATGTAGAACTCAATGTCAAAAGTTGCTCTTGAAATTGAGTAGAAAACTAAATACATATATATCTCAAGACTACATTAAGCTACATAATTTTGTCACGTATAAATTTTTCATTACTTACACGGAGGAAGCGGTTTCCCACACAAACCGGCATTCCCCTCGAAAGCCGAGGCCGGAATAACCACCTTATGAGCCGGTATTTTCCCGCTCAAACGATTGTACGAGACGTTAAAACTCTCGAGATACTCGAAATTCAAAACCTCCTTAGGAATCCCGCCACTCAATCCATTCCCCGACAAAAGAATAGCCTCGAGCGCGCTTGCGTTCCCGAGCGATTTCGGTATTCCACCGATGAGCCCGTTTTTCTCCATCTCGACCCTCGTCAAATACCTCAACTTCCCGAGCGATTTCGGTATTTTCCCGCCCAAAGGGTTGTGGGACAAAATCAAAGTCTCGATTTCTTCCATGACGGGCTTTTCCCTGATGTCTTCGTTGATGGGCCCGCGAAACATGTTGTGAGAAAGGTCGATCGAAGAGTAATGCCCGCGCGGGAAATCGGAGGCTTTCGCAAAAAACGTGTTTAAATTGCCGGAGAGGTTGTTCGAGTGGAGATCGAGGTCGGTTAGGAGGACGAGGTTCTTGAATTCGACTGGAACTGAGGAGTTGAAATGATTGTTGGACAAATTTAGAAGGGAGAGGTTTGTCATGTTACCAATCCATGAAGGTAGTTTCCCTTTTAGGGAATTACTCGACAAATCAAGAGTCGAAAGGGAAGAAGACGAAGACAGCCAGTTGGGCAGTTCCCCCTCGAGCCCTGTGCTCGCGAGCAGCAGTCGAAAAAGGCTTAAGCTTTTAAGCCAATCGGGCAATTTTTCGAGCCTTAAAGGATTGAAAGACAGGTCAAGATCTTGTAGCGACTTTAATTTCAAGAACTCAACTGGGATTGGGCCTGAAAGTTGGTTTCTTGATAAATCCAGGCTCTGTAAATTCTTCAGATTCCCCATACTCAGAGGAATTTTTCCTGTGAAGTGATTGTTAGAGAAGTAAATGCTTTCTAGTGTAGTGAGATGGCCTAGTGTTTCAGGCAGATTTCCACTTAGCTGATTGTTTTCGAAAACCAAGCTTTTGAGCCCTGTCAGGTTCCCGATCGACGGCGGTATCTGCCCTGTCAGATTATTTTCCGACAAACGGAGAAACTGTAGTGATATGAGCCGGCCGATGGACTCCGGGATTTTTCCAGTGAATCCGTTGCCGTTGAGGTACAAAACCTCGAGCAAATAAAGTCCGCCGATGGACTCCGGGATTTTTCCGGTCAACTGGTTGCCGGAAAAATCCGCGTACGTCAGATTCCTGAGCCCGCGGATTGCTTCGGGCACGTCTCCCGAGAAGTTGTTCCCATGGAGGTCGAGGCTGGCGAGCGAGGCCAACTTCCCGACCGACGGAGGTATCGTGCTGGACAATGCATTCGACGAGAGGCCCAAATCCGTAAGCGAGGTCATGCCGATGAAAAGGTCGGATGGGATGGGCCCCGAGAGGCGGTTATCATCAAGAAACAATTTATTCAAACGGGCCAGGTTTCGAAAAGTGGCGGGAATCGGGCCCGTGAGGCTGTTGGTGTTGGGAACATTTGGGTCAGGTGGGCCAGGCGGCCGAGTTCGGTTGGGATGGGCCCACTTAGGTATTTGAGGTTGCTGAGGTCGAAGAGTCGGAGGAAAGTGAGGTTGCCGAGAAAGGGGGAGAGTTTTCCGGACATGGAAGTGTCGACGGGCGAGTCATCGTCCGAGAAGAGGCCCGGGCGGGTGAGGTTAATGGCCCGGCCCGTTATCTGGTCGCACGAAACTCCTTCCCATTGGGTGCAGCAGTCAGTGTGTGGGGCCCACGTATGGAGGAGGTGTGACGGGTCATCGGTTATCGTTTTCTTGAACTCGAGGAGGGCTCGTTTGTCGGTCGGGTGGCACGACGACCCGGGTTTTACTACGGGGAAGGAAAGGAGTATGATGAGTTGGAGAGTGAGTAGGGGAAGTGATTTTGATGTGGAGTGATTCTCCATTGAAGGATTCTTTGTGGATTCTGAAGAGTTTCGTGGCCTATTTAAACTTTTGAAAAATTAAAAACATAACCGTTTTTTACTTTAAAAAATAACCATTTATCTTATGATGTTTTTCCTTTCCGGAATTTACTGATGTTATGTTTGAACTTTGAAGAGATTTTATCTTAGCGAAAATATTTTTTTTTTCTTACTTTAAAAAGACTTAATAATAAAGAAAAAGAAGAAGAAAATAGCGACTTTGAAGGATGTTCACTGTCAGTTAATTAGGCAAAAATAACGGTGACTTTGAAAATACTTTTCCAAAAAATAAAATAGAGTATGGGTGGAAATATTAATAGAACGAAATAAATCATATGTAAGATTTTGTACCTCTAAATTTTTAATAATATTGTATCCCGTCATAAATATTTACCACAATCTTATATTAATATATACATATTTTGTTTCTAAAATTCAAAAAAAAAAATATATATATATATATAATGACGAGTTAGATCAATGCCCGAGTCAATCATGTTATTTGGTCAGTTCGGTTCGACTGTGTCTTTAACCGGATGGATCCATTTGCAGGTCAACTATGTCCAAATCGGGCCAAGTCAAGAAAACACTGGGGAAGGGTTTCATTTAAATTTGTAATATGGGCAAAAAAGTTCAATTTTGCATGTGGCATGTGTCATGTGATAGGATCATAATTACATATGAAGTGTGAATTAATTCAAAATAGGGGATGGTAAAGTTGCTCTTATATATCTTTTTTAGTTGGCCATAATTGAAGATGAGCTAAGGCAAACTTTGTTTGGACGTTTCTATGTGATTACAATTTCATCATTTTTGCTAATTCGAATTAATTAAATTCTCATGATAATCCACCTTGACCCATTGTTGCAAAGAATCTTCTTCCACTATAAAAGATTTGTCTTGTAAGTAGAATTAGTGATAAGTCGAAAAATGTGTATGGTTTATATATTTAATTGTGTATTCTTATACATTTATTTAATTCGCGCGTTTATATTTTTCGACCTTTTTATTATTTGGATGGATTTATTTGCTTTGATGTTTTATGTGTTATTAATTAAGAGGAATTTTGCAATAGGATTGATGTATTGGACTTTAACGACTATGAATGTTCTTATGAGAACGTTAAAACTAAAATGAAAGAAAATTTTTGTGTTTTTTTTTTTATTAGGAATTTGTTTTTTTATATATATTTTTGTTGGGATTTGTAAAACGTTATTTCACTATTTCTATATGAGAACATCATTACGTTAATTCTAAATAAAAAAAATCACATATGAGTTCATTTTTTTCTATATTTTACTTCATTTATGCAATGATATGTTTAATAAATAAATTAATTTATTTTACAAACTTATTCCACGAAAATCATTTGTCACCACGTGCATCGCACGTGCACTTTACTAGTTATTTTAAACTTATAAATTATTTAACAATTAACAAGTTGTTATCTGCATATTGCTCGGTAGTTGACTAATGTTTAACCAACAAAATTTATCTTACATTAGTACAATTCCAAATGCATGGACTATTAACAAATTGACAATTAAATTTTAATTTTTAGTTACTGTTATCGCTTATGCAACATAACATTTTCATGATAAAGGAAGCCTTGAAATTTGTAAAAACTAACTAAAATCATGACAAAGTCAAATTTATTAAGATCCTTTCATTCTTCTCATCAAACTACATTATTATTAACCTACATAATTCCCATTCTCTCACTACTTCTTACACGGAGGAAGCGGTTCCCCACACAAACCGGCATTCCCCTCGAAAGCCGAAGCCGGAATATGCACCTTATGAGCCGGTATTTTCCCGCTCAAACGATTGTACGAAACATTAAAACTCTTGAGATACTTGAGATTCAAAACCTCCATGGGTATTCCGCCGACGAGCCTGTTTTTCTCCATCTCGAGCTTCCTCAAATACCTCAACTTCCCGAGCGATGTCGGTATTTTACCGCCCAAAGGGTTGCCGGACAAAATCAAAGTCTCGACGTATTTCATGACTGGCTTGTTCCCGATGTCTTCGTCGATGGGCAGACTGAATATGTTGTTAGAAAGGTCGATCGAGGAGTACATCCCAAGCGTATATTGGGATGATTTTTCGAAAAGCGCGTTTAAATTTCCCGAGAGGCTGTTCGAGTGGAGATCGAGGTCGGTTAAGAAGAAGAGGTTCTTGAACTCGACTGGAACAGAGGAGTCGAAATGATTGTTGGACAAATTTAGATAGGAAAGGTTTGTCATTTTTCCAATCCATGAAGGTAGCTTCCCTTTTAGGGAATTACTCGATAAATCAAGAACATATAGGGAAGAAAATGAAGACAAGCTGTTGGGCAGTTCTCCCTCGAGTCCTGTGCTCGCGAGCCGCAGTTCATAAAGGCTTAGACTTTTAAGCCAATCGGGAAATTTATTGAGCCCTAGAGGATTGAAAGACAGATCAAGAATCTGTAGGAGCTTCAATTTAAGGAATGTTTATGGGATCGGGCCTGAAAGTTTGTTTCTTGATAAATCTAGGCTCTCTAACTTCTTCAGATTTCCCAAACTGGAAGGAATATTTCCTGTAAAACGATTGTTAGAGAAATTAATGTTTTCTAGGCTAATGAGTTGGCCTAGTGTTTCAGGTAGTGTTCCACTAAGCTGATTGTTTTCGAAAGGCAGAATTTTGAGCCCCGTCAGGTTCCCGATCGACGGGGGTATCTGCCCTGTCAGATGATTTTCCGACAAACAGATAAACTTCAGTGATCTGAGCTGGCCGATGGAGAAAGGTATTTCTCCAGTGAAGCCGTTGTTGTTGAGGTACAAAACAACGAGCAAATGAAGTCTGCCGATGGACTCCGGGATTTTTTCGGTCATCCGGTTGCTGGAAAAATCAGCGTACGTCAGATTTTTGAGCGCGCCGATTGTTTCGGGCACATTTCCCGAGAATTTGCTCCTGTGGAGATCGAGGCTGGCAAGCGAGGCCAATTTCCAGACCGACGGAGGTATCGGGCCGGAAAATCTATTGGATGAGAGGCCCAAAACCGTCAGCGAGGTCATGCCGATGAAAAGGTCGGATGGGATTTGGCCCGCAAGTATGTTGTTGTCTAGAGTCAATTTTTGTAAAGAGGCCAGGTTCCGTAAGGTGGCGGGAATCGGGCCGCTGAGGTTGTTTTTGTTGAGGAACATGTAATTAAGGTGAACCAGGCGGCCGAGTTCGGTCGGGATGGGCCCACTTAGGTATTTGAGGTTGCTGAGGTCGAGGATTCGGAGGGAAGTGAGGTTGCCGAGGAAAGGGGAGAGATTTCCTGACATGTAATAGTCTGCGGGGTCAAATTCCGAGAAGATGGCGAGGCTAACGACCCGACCCGTTTTGCCGTCGCACGAGACTCCCTCAAATGCTTTGCAGCAGTCTATGTTTGGGCCCCACGTATAGAGGAGGTTGTACGGGTCGTTGATTATCATTTTCTTGAGCTCGAGGAGGGCTTGTTTGTCGGTTGGGTGGCACGACGACCCGGGTTTTACGAGGGCGAAGGAAAGGAGTATGATGAGGTCGAGAGTGAGCAGGGGAAGTGATTTTGATGTGGAGTGATTTTCCATGGAGTATTTTTGTGGAGTTTGCATAAGGTCTCTATGTTTTATTTATTTTTTATTTTTTTTGGATTAATGTGATTTTTTCAATGTTTTTGATGATTTTTTTTGTCTTAAAGTGTGTGTGAGGAATAATTCTGAAGAGTTTCGTGGCCTATTAATTAATTAAATCTTTTAAGAGAACATAACTTTTTTTTACATTAAAAAATAACCATATTTCTTGTGATATTTTTTCCTTTTTGGAATTCATTGATGGTATGTTTGAACTTTGTATCATTAATTTGGGATCTTGTCTAAGCG